CATTTACCTTTTTATAGACGGTCTACCACAAGGGATTAATTGGGATGATCGAAAATAGGTGTTTTAAACTAACTATTCGTGTATCGTTTAGTACCAGATGAATATATAAAATATCGTAAAACCTTCAAGGTAAGAGAGCATAAAAAAAAATGTGACATAACCAATCAAATTTGCGGATTTGCACGTGGATCATTCTAGAACTCAGTTTCCAAATTTGGTATATTCCCAGACTGAAATGTGAATAACATTTGATTCAATAGTTTATTGAATAAACTATTAAATTAATAAGTTCAAATATGATTCACATATAAATACAAACCAATATTTTGGTCTGTTTTGTCCAAATTATCCCGATCGGAAAATATCGTAAGGTGATATTCAAGGCAAAGACCCAATTCTAGAACGTCAGGCAAAAAATTGACCGACCGAATATTTACTTCAGATTCGGTGATTCGGCAAATATTCAGTTGGTTAATTTTTTGCCAGACGTTTCAGAATTTATGAAAATAGCTGTAAGGGTAATTAGTTCAAAGTTTTGTTTCATAGAAAGATCGTTTTACAGACAGTTCATTTCATAGACAATCTTTGATAGAGAATAACTCAATCTAATCTATTCTGTTTTAGGTAGATGAAATAAATTGTCTATAAAATGAACTGTCTATGAAATGAATTAATTGACTTTAAAATAAACTTGTCTATGAATTAATAATTGTTTATCGTTATAAAATGAGATGTCTATAAAATGATTGTCTATGAAGTGATGCGTACCCCTTCACATGCAATTAAGACTTTATATCGTCAACTAGCCGATTTTGCTGCTAAAGCAATTCATTAAATATATTACGAAAAAAAAAAAAGATCATCGATAGTTGACTCGACTTTTAACCAACTGATTCTCAACCGGTTGGCTTATTGCTCAACCGACGGTTGACCCGGATCAGGATTCTTTAGTAGTATCAGGCTGTAGGGAGAATTGTCCGCACATGCGCTCATCCGACAATCTAGAATTCTGAATGATACGTATCGTACTACTGTACTACGTATAACAGTTTATCCGAATAATTATCAATTATTTCATATGATCATGTGAATTTTTTTGCCATAATCAGTTTTGCAACATATCACAGAAAAAACTTCACACGGTCATATTAACTATCGGATAACATCATTATTGAACGTATTTTCGCGTAATAACGCTCATCTGCGCGTTATTTTGAGTACGCGCATAGGCGTTATTTTGAGACAAATGTAAAAATCTTAAGCATCTTGTCTAAAACAAAAAATGAACTAGGTTGATACTAAGTGAATCTAGTTCCAGAGCATTTGTTGTAAATAAGCACCCCTTACTATAAGATGCGCGTTATTTCGGGACGCGCATGGGCGTTATTTTGAAGCTATATATGTTATTTTTAGGGGGCGCAATTTTCGAAATAACGTTCATGAGTGTTATTCCGCGAAATACGGTAGATAATCTTGAAAACAAAATGCCAAAAACATTCATTATTTCCTTTTATTAAATTTTATCTGGACTAGTTTCAGACCTGCCCTAAAAAGTTCAGCCCCAGACCCAGTCCGAACAAGTCCTTTGTGGGCTATTTAACATCTTGTTCGGAAAATCAGCCTATACATTCGAAATAACGCCCATGGGCGTACTCGAAATAGCGCGCAGATGCCCGCCATTTCGAGATTTTACGGTAAGATAATTTCACAGGTGTTGTAAAATTCATTGACACTTTTAAGACCATGGTAATTGACGACTTCTTCATTTAGAACAACACAGTTATCTTCGGTTTGATGAGTAGCAAGTGTACGAATATAACAGATATTGACAAAGCCCATGGATCTTCCAAACAATTATATGTTAACGCTGGAAAAAGAGCTCTTAGAATATGCCGATAATGGAATTGAGAATTGCATAAAGGTGAATAAAGGTGATTAAAAAACAAAGGAGATACAATTCAAAAAATCAACCACACCAGAGGAATGTGATGGTGCAGTATCTAACCAAAAGAATAACGGATCTTTCGAAGTTAGCGAGACGATATGTAAAGAATTAGACGTTCCAGTTGCAGAAGTGATAATTAAAAGTAAAAAAATGTGCACAAAATAAGCAACTTAAATTCCCCGAATCAGATTCGTGATGGAAAAAAATGTGAATATAATAAAACCTTTAAAAAATTTTGATTTAATTAGAGGGTTGCGATTAGAAATTGCGCCCATAGATGGACGAAATTATTATGTATTCTTAGTATTACTTGAGATTTTAATTCTTGCTAAAGATAGAACCATACGAACTAGGGATCCGCAAATGCCCATGCCAGGCATATTAGGCATCATGCCTGGCACTAATGCTTGTTAGGTTGCCCGTGCCCATGGGCACAAAAGGTTCAGGCATTTTGTAGGCACACGTAATGTTTTAGGCACCTTTGGAGCAGGCACTCTGTGCCCTAGTGCCTGATAGTTTAGGATCGATTTTTCTTCATACTTATAATACAAATGCCAAATACTTTGTGCCTGTGCCTCAAAAGTGCTCATTAACTTTATGCCAGATGTTTTTGCATCTGTGTCTGTGCCTTTTATAACTGATAACCCGAATTTGAATCATGTATACCACTTAAAGCAAAATTCAAAATAGATGGCCTTTTGTTTTTTTTAAAAAAAGGTTCAATCCGGCTATTAAGTCATAGTACGTACATATTGTGTATTTGTTGTGCGTGAAATTAGAATGGGTGTGGATTTAAATTTGAATTAGAGATGCGTAAGGTCAAAATAGAAGGTTTGCGTTGAACTAAATTGATGATTTATATAAGTGATGCCAAGAAAAACAAAAACTCTGGACTCTTAAATTTATAACATGCCGGAAAGATTCTTCAGATTTTTTAGGGTAGGTTTTAGACTTAAAAGGCCAAAGTCTTGATTTTCTTGGGCGTAGCTCATGCTGTATCATATATGTGACCGAAATATTTCGACTTGTGTTGACTCCCACACAAACGACAAATTTTATAATAATATTGGTTGATAATAGAAGCATGCTAACATTCTGTTTTAGCGTTGCTTCTTTGACTGTTAAATATTATCTAATTTCAAGTCTTTAATCGACAACGCAAAGTAGTGAAGTACGTGGTGTAATATTAATGGATAAAAAAAAACGTTAATTCTTAAAATTTTTGATTAATTAGTGCTTTCTTTCTTTTATTCGATGCCAAAATTTTGACATCTTTATATGAAAATTTGCGCATAGTGGATGAATATTTCTATAGTTCAACTCGGCACGAAATACGCAATAAATTGTTTTTGCGATTTAATAATAGTATATACACATCGCGTAAATGATAATCTTGGTTTGACGCATCTCGGATCGAATTTATTCTGACACAACACATGTCAATAAAGTTTTGAATTACAATAACGATGAAAATTGCTATAGTAATCTGGCGAACATCCGGACAAAACAAGACTTAATTTTTCCAATTAGAATCCCAAATAAGGCTGTATATATTTTATAATATCGTTATATATTCGAGACTTTTAAAATCGTTACGTAGCATTCCGATTATTTCCCAAGCAATAATAAAATATATTCATTCATCATAGTAAGCACCAAGTCTGAGGTTTCATATTTAGTGAAGGTCTATGATCTATGAGTTGTGCATTTAATTTTTAATAGTTACACGAATAACAATGAAATATACCATTAATATAATCAATATACGTAGCGGTAAAACCTTGTTTGCATAAAATGAAAATTCTATTTCTATATAACATATACAAAAGATATTTATGAATTTTCTCTCACAATAGTATACAAGTACGTATCTGGGGTCTTTGCCTTGAAAATGACCTTACGGTATCATGTACCGTAAGGTCATTTTCAAGGCAAAGACCCCATCTATATATCCATATTACGCATTAAAAGTATTGCATTACAAAATCTAAATTTGTATAATTCTGGTTTTCCGATCGTTATCTATATCACTGTTATCATTTTGTGCCTGCCGTAATTAATTTTAACCTATTATGACATATAGGTTGTAATGTTACAAATTATTTTTTATCTATATAATTGCTTTATTGGAACATAATAATAATGCTTAATACAGTACATAGCATGAAGTAAATATTTAATATGTATCAAATTAGTCTCATCAATATATGTACTAAAAGCCAAAAATTTTTGACATTGATATTTTTGGAATTTTAAATAACCTTTTTGATTAATAATTTCACTTAATTATCTGGCAGTTTTGTGTCTTTTTAGAAATTTATCAATTTCTGAGTCCATGTAAAACTTAAATTTATATTATGGCTAATAATCCCAAAATTCTACACGTAAAAATTGGGGTTGGGACTTGAACTTTCTTGCAAATTAAGTTTCGCTATCAAATTCAGCACTAAACCATGAGTGTTTGTTTAAAAGAGCAATGTGTTCAAAAAAGTTTGGTGTTCTATGATCGGTAATTTATAGCGGTTAGAATTTATCGGAATAATATAGCAGAGTCAAATTATAAGTTATATGCATTGGAGTTAAATAATTGCTACTTTAACAGCACAGGATGCACTTTAAAATTATTCACAAGGATTGATTATATTTTTTAAACCGATCTTTTATTATCATACTTGAGATTTTCTAAAATTTCTTATTTTTCTTTTTATTTGTTATTATTTTTTTTTTTAAGTGACCTTTATATATTTTACTTTTTCATTAAAGAAAAATGATTACAAATCAATAAAATAATAGGTTTAACTACAAAAAATTGAATTATTGAATTTAGCTACGAAAAACAATGCAATTAATTAAATGAAGCAATTAATTGGTAAAGATGAGATAAAATATATTATTTTAGGCAAAAATATAATAATAACATATAGAATATCTACGAATAATGAAGTAATGTTAAAATACGTAAAAAAATTTTCGCAACATTGGTTCTCACTGTAACCAGTTAAAAGCTGATACATTTCACCGATAGTATCAAAAGTATTATTTTCTCTGCTACTGATTATTTTCAGTACTTTAACGGAAGAGCTCTTGCGAAAATTTCTATGTTATACTGAATTGAATCTATATATTCTAACCAGATGCAATTGACTAATATCTAGTTTAAAGACTGTGAACTTGATAATGATTGCAATCTATTTATCGATTAACAATGTATAATTGTTCTTTTCTTTTCAAATTTCAAAGCAAACTTGATCAAAAAGTTTATGATTAAAGTTTTATTTTGGATGTGAAAAACTTTCACTTTTATAATTATTTTTCATTTATTATACACATTTCAGATATAACTATTTGCCCTAACATATCAATTTTATTTAACAATCCTGCTTAGTCGCTAAATCACTCTTAAGTTCTTAATTCGAAATGAAAACGAAACTTTAATAATTTATAGCATTGATTTAATAAATTTGACCGTTTTTTGAGTTGGATATGAATGACCGAAATGGGACATAGATTTGGGTTTTGGTTTTGGCTATTATCCCAAATGAAAGTAAAAATTCCCAAACCCGAACTACATAATAATGTCATTATTCAAAAAAAAGGTTTGGTCGTACCCCTATCTACAACATATTCATCTTCATCTTCATCTCCTTCATCTTCATTTTCATCTTCTTCATCTATCTCTTGGTCATGTCCATTTTCAACTCGATTTTCATAATCACTATAATCTACATCACTTTCTTCACATCCATCGCAGATTTCATCATCATCAATAAGAGCGTTTGTACCTCTTAACTCTGCTAATTTTTTAAGACGTAATTCAGTTTCAATCTTTTTCATTTGCCGTTTCGATTCTCGATAGTCTCGCCAGAGTTCTTTCAGTTCTTTTATACCTTCTATAAACAAGTTTGCTTTTGCTTCTTTATTTAGTGTCGGATTATCAAAATTAAATCGTGCAATATTATCTTTCGCTTCATCACCTAATTCAGATATTGAAAGTTCTTCTTGTTTGTTTAATTTAAATGATGATTCCTCCTCCATAATTTCTATTGGCTCTTCGGACTGCTCAATTGGGCTATTTGCTGAAGGTATGACTTCTGTCTCGATCTCCGATGGTTCATCAACAACTGTGGATTCAACTCCAAGAGAAATTGGTGATGTAACTGTAGTAGAAATGTCTTGGTCCATTGATTCTGCCACAGATGAACTATTATTATGTTTCCGACTTGGCGTCCGATTTGCTCGATAATTATTGCTTGCTTGGTAAGACCTGTCAGATCTATCAGATTTATCACTTCCAACACTACGACGACGTTTGCTTTCAGATTTATCACTAGAAGTACTACGAACTGATTTCTCTTCATATTTATCCGTATTCTCGTTTACCACATTACGACGTCGCTTACCGTCAGATGTTTCACTAGCTGTACTACGCCGTCGTTTCGGTATTTTTTTGTTCGGTAATTCATCTTCGTCGGAGTTTTTTACGATTGAATTCTTACGTGAAACATTACTCCGTGAATTCCGACCGTTAGATAAAGATGAATTCCGCCTAGTAGGACTAACAGTTTCGGAATCTATATCCATTCCCGATGCTGGAGATCCGGATGTACTTTCCTCTGTCGATTGTGACGCATGACGGCTTGATAACGTGCTCCTTTTAGTCGTTCTACCTTTATTTTGTATGTTCCCTTCTGAAGTTGTAGTAGAATGTTCACCAAACATATTTATTGGAATCTCTATTCTTTTCGATGATGAAGGTACACTGGCTTTATGTCTCCTAACAGAAGTTTGTGACGAATTATTTTCACCGTTTTCGAGTGAGGCTGGTCGCTTCCAATAGTCCCATCTGAACGCTTTTAGTGGTTCTCCCTTTTGAATGCATTTCAGTGCTCTCCGAACTCCAATATGAACAGAAAATCCATCTACTTTTACAAATGATTGATAAGGTTCCCCATCTATCCTAAAATGACGTAATCCTTTAGCTTCTACTACTGAATAAGTCATGTCTTCAAAATACCTAACAAGGAATTTCCGCGCGAGTAAATGAACTTCAAGTTTGCCATCAACATCCATTGTTTCGTCAATCTCGTCATTTGGAACTATCATTGCTGGCCACCAAAATTTCGCTTTTAAATCTAATGGATCGACAAACACAATATCTCGTCCTTTAAATTCTTCTTTTGACTGTCGAGTTGACGACCTCCGGGTTGGCGTTTCTTTTGGCCTGTTGTAAAAAATATTTTTCGTGGCTCGACGTGGAAGTGAACGGCGTTGAATACCTACTATTATATAATGTTAAAATAGCGTTTAAATATTTTGTACATGCTCAGCATTAAAATACTCACCTTCTTCTTCCTCATCGTCTTCTTCAGTAGCACAATCTTCACTTTTAATATGTTCCGATTCTCCTTGGTCTCTAGACACTGGTGAACTTTCTGCTGTTTCTACGTCAACTTCTTGTTCCTCCTCTTCTAGTTTCACCTTTGTATGTTCGCTTTCTTCCGTCGTCTCTGATGATTTTGGTATTCGTGGCTCTTCTTTAGGCATTAAAGTGGTCGTTTTTTCGTCTAGAGGTCCAGTCGGGTGGATAGAATAAAATAGGCAATATTTAATGTGTAAAGTTTTAACAAAAAAAGTTTTTGCAAGAAAGAAATAAAAAGATAGAGCACCGAAAGCTAATAAGTAAGGTTTAAAAGAGCTTACAGAAGAAGGTGACACAATGGACATAACTTTTTCCACGCACTACTATATACAAGCACTGAATGAGCGATAAAGATTAATCTTTAGTTAAAACATGAAGTGGTGCGAAACCAAACTTTAAACTTTGAAAGTAAAGAAACAGCCAGCCTCTTAGAAAGAGGCCGTGATTTTATATCGTTATAACTGATTGCCAATTGGTCAGTTAATTGTTATGTGTAGATTCAGAGATGGGTATACGTGCCATGCTATTGTGAAAATCGAACATCTAAATGCTTAGATCATACCCGAAAGTTCGGAATTTACTGGAATTCAAAAGACTCCGAAATCAAATCACATGTTACGCGGCCCCATTAGGAAGGTACTCGTAAACCCTGGTCCGAATCCAATAAAATTGCAAGATCTTGTATAACAAACGAATAAAATCTTTATCGTTATTGTTTTGTGTTAAAATCTATAACATTTCGATGGGACCAAGGTGACAAACTACTGGTAAATTACCAAAATACTTAGTAGACCTACTATACGTACACTATAAACAGATATAAATCGCGGAATCTATATAATAACTAATTTTGTTTTTTTTTTTTTTTAACACCTAGATTGCTTATTATAATAAGAAATATTTGATAATATAAAACTCGCAACCATGTATTATACTCGGGGCCTATTATAGGTTTTAATATAGGTTTTAAAATTGGTGAATATAAGAGATCTGGGTCTTATATATGATAGTTTATAGTAATTTACTATTAAAAATTTGCAAATTATCAATTTTTAACAACCCTGACCGGGACTTGAAAAATTTACTATTAAAAAAAAATCTCTGCTTATAGAAAACAAAATTCATATTATTTTATATATTTGAAATTAAAGCCAAATCAAAGTTTTAGTAAAATTTTATTTAGAAATTATGCTATAAAAAAAAATATACAGTATACCCTCCCAAAACCGACCCTGTCAAAACCGATAGTCTGTTATAACCGATAAAAAATTGATCCACGTCTGTTCCATAATTCAAACCCGATGACCTGACACTTCTGATAACCGATACTCAAAAAATCAGATACTAATATCTATAAGATATTGGTAATATAATCAATTTGATTGGCTCAAATCGACTTTGGGCAATCGAGTAGATATATAATAAATATAATCTAGCCAATTATATTTATTTGACCAGTGAGCCATTGGTATCTTAAATCCGATAACCTTTCAAAACCGATACAAAAGCTGTCCACCATTCCTATCAGATTTGAGAGAGTATTAATATTAATGGTGAGTTTGTTTATTATTTAAATTGATATTTATACTAAATTAAATAATAAATATATAGTGATTTGTTTTGTTTTTTTTTTAATCTTCAAAGGTGAGGCCATGCCTCTATCTTTATTAAAATCCAATTAAACTTCTTTACAAATAATTAAAT